CGGATCCTGACATCCAACTCCTCTGTCCCAATCTGAACCACGGGCTCAGGTGCTACCGGCACCTCCGACCCTCCGTCTCCCGACCCCGATCCTGACCCAAATCCTGACCCGGGCTCAGATCCTGACCCAAATCCCGACCCTCCGTCTCCGTCTCCCGACCCCGAACTGCTCATAAGGTCTGTTGGCCTTCAGCACAAAGCTGGACCGCCTCAACCCAAATCAATGAGCAAACAATCATGTGCGCAAAACTAACATATACTGGCATATATAGGCATCAAACATAGCTAACTCACTGATCAGCAATCATAGCAATCTCTCATGACTAGAATACAGACCTAGCAGGCCACTAACATCCCGATCCTTAAGGATCATAGAAGCATAACATACTGTCTATCCTGATTCCAATCTATCAGATCATAACCATATATATATATATATATATATATATATATATATATATATATATATATATATATATATATATATATATATATATATATATATATATATCATAACGGTAACAACTAAAGGGCCGACCTTGGTGCCTTAGACCCTTTTGATATAGTGAGGATAACTCACCTCGCACATGTCGACTCGGTAGATAAATCCCAACTCTCGGATCACTCGCCAAAGACTCCTCCACCTATTACCATAGTACGAGCATACTCATAAATCCTCAACCTCACAAGTACTCCATAAACCAACCAGTCAACCCCAGGTCAAAGTCAAAGTCCTCAGTCAAGGTCAACAGTCCCTGTTGACCTTAACTCGCCGAGTACCCTCGGCTACTCACCGAGTTCTTTGAAGTTCTTTCCCAATCGCCGAGTCATCCGGTGACTCGTCGAGTTCTCACGATTTTCGATCGAAACCCTAAGGCCACCCGTCGAGTTTCCTTCTTGCAACACATCGGCTACACACGCATTCATAACTCGGGGAAAACTCATCCGACTCGCCGAGTTGTTCATACAACTCGTCGAGTCTAAGGAAATCTTCATCGGACTCGCCGAGTTGTTCATCAACTCGTTGAGTTCAATGGCCATCTTCATAAGACTTGCCGAGTCAACCTTGCGACTCGTCGAGTTCCTTCAGTCCTTAAGCCATATAGACTTATTTAAGCCATTTAATGGCTCCAAATTATAGATCCAAGCTTCTAGGACATGCTTTTCACGTAAATTTGCAAACTTTACGTGCATGCATGACTAAAAAGGCTCTTAATGCCAAATCTAAGCTCTTAATGGGGTTTCATGCACAAGGAGGGCCTCAACCACGACCAAAACAGAAACTTTGTGGTTCTAGAAATTGAGAAGGGTCCAGATCTGAAGTTACAACTTCAAGTCTAGCCTATAGCTCACCAATATGACTCCCAAAAATCCATAAAACCCTAAAACTCAACCACAAAGAGATCTAGAAGAAAAGGGGAGTAAAGATTGCAACTTGATACCTCCAAAAGATGCTAGATGAGGTAAGTTATGTTTCCCACACCTTCCTTGCCTCAACTCCTTTGCTCTTCAAGCTCTTTCCTCCAAGCAAATCTTCTTTCCAAGGTCTAAAACACACCACAAGGAGCACCACACGAATTAGGGTTTCAATGAGCTCTCAAAGACTGTAAGGAGGCCAAAGGAGGCTGAGGCTTCCTTAAATAGGGTGCAACACCCCGACATTTAGGGTTTTATCTGCCAGCTCCTACTCATCGAGTACCTTCTTGGACTCTGCGAGTAGGTCACTAAACACGCGATCCCACCCCGCTGCTACTCGATGAGTAGGGCAACCAACTCGTCGAGTAGGACTTAAAACCAAAGAACCCGTTATTTAATCAATACCTGTGAATCGGGGCGTTACATCCCAAAGCAGCTCCAGTATTTTATCTGACCAGGCATCGGTCTTAAGATAAGTGATCAAATATCCCTTCATTCTACAAGATATCGTTGGACATGAGACATTGATTAGAATCAATCTCTTGTCTTTTCCAAAATTTTGTTTTCCCAAAATTTTGTTTTCCCGATCTCCAAATTTGTGATGACCTGATAAGACTTTTAATTGAACACGTCAATAGGCTAGGCCCAGCACTATAAGTCAACACCAAATCACCGAGGGGCCCAAATATATCGTTTTTCCCTTTAGGGCAAAATGAATAAATAAACATTGACTTATATGCTTGTATCATTTACTCACCAAATCATACATGATATTACGTTTTATAACATCATGTTACTGATGCAGTTTCGCAATACTAATGTACAACCGACTTGTAAATTACAATTCATATATCTCCGTTTTAAGAAAATAAGATATTATCTTCTCATAATTACTCATGATAGAATCCATGAAGTAATTCTCTGAACGTAGGTTTATCCAATACTCAAAATCTCCACTTTTCTAAGTACTCATGAATGTTGCAATAACACAATTTCTATGTCTAGTATCCTTAGACAATCTACAAACCAATTCATGACAGTCTTTCCTAAAGTATGAGTGACGGTGGAATTTCGAATAATTAAGTCATTCGGGAAATAATACATGCAAATCGAAACACAAGAATAAATAATTGACAAAGGCGGTAAACAAAATTATAAATAATATCTATTATTAAATCACCAAGAACAATTACATTTATTTTGTTACAAGTTTCAAACTAATCAATTAACTACTAAAACTAATATAATCTCTCAAACCAATGTTCATAGCATGTTGATTATGCTAAACCCTACTCAGAGCCTTAGTGGAAGGATTTGTAGGATTATTTTCTGATGATACTCTCTTAACTATAAGATGACCTTCTTCAGCTCTATGTCTAATGTAATGGTACTTTCTGTCAATATGCTTGGATCTACCATGATCCTTGGGCTCTTTGGTCAAAGCAATCGCGCCTTCCTTATCACAGTAAAGTTCCAATGGCTCCTGAATTGTCGGGAATACTTCGAGATATCTGATGAAATTCTTCAACCAAGACGCTTCCATTGATGCTTCACTCGCTGCGATGTACTCTGATTCACAAGTAGAATCCGCCATCGTATCTTGCTTGGAACTTTTCCAAGTTACTGCTCCTCCATTTAAGACAAACACCCAGCCCGACTGAGAGCAAAAGTTGTCTCGATCTGTTTGGAAGTTGGTGTCCCTATACCCAATCACTCTTAACGTATCATTACCACCAAGAGCTAGAATCATGTCCTTTGTCCTTCGCAGGTATTTGAGAATTTTCTTCACTACTATCCAATGAGCTCTACCTGGATTTCCCTGAAATCGACTAACCATGCTTAAAGAAAAAGACATATTAGGGCAAGTACATGTCATAACGTACATGATCGATCTTACAGCCAAATCATATGGGACTCGACTCATGTCAACTATCTCTTCATATATACTAGGGCTTTGAGTCTTTCTCAATTTGGCATTACTTTGAATAGGTAGCTCTCCTTTCTTGGAATTTCCCATACTAAAAGGTTTTAGTACCTTATCCAAGTATGTACTTTAACTAAGACCAATCAGTTTTTTCTTTCTATCCCTTAAAACTATTATCCCAAGAATATAGGTTGTTACCCCTAGATCCTTCATGGAGAAACACTTCCCAAGCTAAGAGTTCACTTCTTGTAAGGTTGGAATGTCATTTCCCATAAGGAATATGTCATCAACATACATTACCATGAAAGTTACTATAATTCCACTAGCCTTGACATACACACAAGACTCATCTTCACTCCTAGAGAAACCAAATTCTTTGACTCTCTCATGGAAGCAAAGATTCCAACTACGATATGCATGTTTTAACCGATAAATGGATTTCTCAAGCTTACACACTCTATTGGGAAACTTTGCATCTACAAAACGCTCTGCTAACTAATGTAAATATCCTCAGCCAACTTCCATTAAGGAAAGCAGTTTTGACATCCATCTTCCATATTTCATAATCATGAAAAGCAGCTATGGAGAGTGTTAGGTGCATTTCATGCACCCATTTTGTAGCTTTATTTCATAAAAGTGCATTTCAGATAGGCTTAAACTCATGCATTTTGCATGTTTTCAGGATTTTTCATGAGGCTATTTCATTCACACACTTTTGTGATATTTCAGGGACTTTTGGGGGTAGGATCTTGCTTGAGTAGGTAAATAAGAGATGTGGACGAAATTTCGGGACTTGCGGAGCACCGGGGATGAGGATATTGAAGAATTGAAGATTTTGGAAATTCAGGGATTTACACGACAGTGTAAACATTAGGAATGAGTTTACGTGGGCCGCGGATTTGAATCTACAAAGGCAGTTTGAGCGTTCTACAAAAAGCAGTTTAAGTTATCGACGTCTTAGGGTTTAGTCTGAACTATCCACTATTCTAATATCTAGTTCTTGTACTTCTTAACTCTAAATTTGCTCAATCGATTCGAGGCTTGATCACCGGCTGACGACATTCACCCAAGTCCACCCAAGTCCAACAGCCACCGTTAACTGTTAAGTTCACCATTCACTCCCTCAGGATTTCATGTCATCGTTCCTAATTAATGTTGACTCCGAGTGCCAACCGATAAACCCTAAAGGTAATTACTAATCACTAATTAGTAAGTATGCTGTTGTCTGTTGGTCTCGATTACATCATCAACTGTTGTGATTTCACTTTAGTTCTTGGATTTGTGCCTTGTCGAGAATTATAGAATGTATATTGGAAAGAAACTCTATATAATATTATACTTGAGTGGTATGGAATGTGTATATGTTTATCACACGTATTACTTTCAATTACCACTTTCAATTTCTGATTCTAGATAGTATTACACTTACATTTGTGATTCTCCACTTTCAATTCCCACATTATATTATTTAGAGATACTTTCTAATAACCAATCAGGCTATCACAACATATTAACAATTTTACATGTATTACTTTCAACTATTAAACAACAGATTCCAAAAAGTCATAACAATTTTCATTTTTCAAAAGTTGCCATTTTAGACCATATTTATTATTTGTATTGTCAACTTCAATAACATGTATTATTTCATATTTTTCGCAATGGAAATTGTTGATGAAGTTAGCTCAGAATGCGAATTTGTATCTGAAAACGAGGTGACGACTAATGACAAAGGGAAAAAGACCTCAAACTCGAAAAAGGTTAAAAAACCACCTCGTGCTCCTTATGCCAGTGAATCCCCTTCTATACATGCGAGGAAAAGAAAATCTATTTGGTGGGGTCACTTTCAAGATAAAGGCATTCTGGATCTTGCAGAGTGTATACATTGTCAACGTAGGATCGGTTGTGCAACTGTATATGGTACTTCCCCTCTGAAAAATCATGTCTTGAGTTTCAAAAAATACCAACCAAATGTTGATAAGAAACAAAAGCTTATCGATCTCGAGTCCAAAACACATGTAAGTGATGATGGTTCAGTTGAAACTGTAACAATACATAAGCTGTAGGAGTTCAACCAAGAAATAATTAGGAAAGCCTTAGCTAAAATGCTAATCGTTGATGATTTGCCATTTTCTTTTATGGAACGTGAGGGTTTTCGTGAATTTATGAAGGTAGTTAATCCCCATTTTCTTGTTCCTTCACGTTCGACCTCTACCAATGATTTCTACACTTGTTTTATTGATGAAAGGAGAAGGTTAATAGATTTTTTTTAAAATTTTGTCTTCCAGAGTTTGCCTAACCACTTGGACTTCAGGGCAAAAATTTTGTTATATGTGTTTGACCGCACATTTCATTGATAACGATTGGCGTTTACGTAAAAGAATTATCAATTTTTGTCCAATCATTGGTCATATAGGGGTACTAATTGGCAGATCTGTTGAGCAATACTTGATTAAATGGGGATTGAAAAACATCTTGACTGTAACGGTTGATTATGCTAGCTCAAATGTTGTAGCAATTAACCATTTGAAAAAGGTGTTTAACCATTGGGAAAGCGATGTGTTGAAAGGATCTTTTCTACATATGAGATGTGCTGCTCATGCACTAAATTTAGTTGTTAGGGATGGTTTAAATGATACTAGTTTATCTATAAATAAAATCCATGCACTTGTGAAATATGTGAGGTCTTCTCTGATGGGTATTGAGAATTCTAACACTTCCTAAGTGTACATGCAACCCTAATAACCTTGGATCTATGTTTGTCTAATAATCATGCAAAGTTGAATTCCAAGGTTATATTCCTATCTAGCATACATGGGGAACATTTTTAACTTGAATGAAAGATAGAATAACTTACCTTGTTGTTGATTATGATCCTTGAAACCTTGTGAGCCTAGCACCCCAAGTGTGATGCCTCAAATGCTTCACACAACACCAAATGCAAAGGAGTAAACTTTGAGAGAATCTTACACTTGCAAAATCGGCTCTAGCCCTCTTGTTTCTTATGTGTAGCCTATTTTGGTGGAGAATGGGTTTCTTATATAGTGTTGACACATCTAGGGTTACACCATGTAAACCCTAATGTGTCATGACTCTTCATTTCCATGACCCATGGGTTTGTAACTCCCATGGAGCATCCATGGAGCATCCTATGGGTGGAACCCAACTTGATAATCCATGGAGCCTCTTAGCCCACTATATAAGATATGGAAGATTTACATAATCTACCCATATATTTAATTAGTTATCTTTTGATCACTTAATTAATTCTAAATTAATTCTTGATCAAACTAATTAAATAATATTATTAATATATTAGAACTTATAATATATTAATAAACCATAAGTGTTATTTCTCTCATTTTAGTTTATCCAATTGCATGGTGCCATGCAACCCAAATGGACCATGCCGGGTCAGGTCAAGTACATCCCAGAAATAGTTATGGACTTATACACCTTATCCAACAGTCTCCCACTTGGATAAGTCTAATAACTATAACTGCAATACTTCAGGAACCGATCGGAAATCGTAGCTCTTTCAAGGTCTCTCGGAACTGAGAAGATGATGATACGCCATTTAAGATAAGTGATCATATAATCCTCTGTTCTAGATATCAGCCGGACAAATACATGGAACAGTGTCTTACTTTGTGTCCAGCAGTTTGTTTCCCGATTTCCGATTTGTTTGACATATAACTCAATTGAACACATCAACTTAGTTCTGAACGGGCCCGGTACATAGGTCAAAACAAAATCATCGAGGGGCCCATATATCAGCTTCTAATCCAAGAAGGAACAGATAAACTTCGACTCATATGTTTGTTCTACCACTCATTGAATTATACACAAGAGCACGTTTTATAACATCGAGTTACCAATGCGTTTTCATACAATCAATGCATAACCAACTCATAAGTAACAAATCATATATCTAGGTTTGAAGACTTATATGATATTACCGTCTCACGATCACTCGAGATAAATTCCATGAAGTGATTCTAGTGAGCGTGGGTTGAGTCCAATGCTCAGAACTTATGAGCACTCATGAGTGTTGTAGCCATGTCCAACAACTTAGACCTCTGCAACCAATCATGACAGTCTTGATTCATACCTACTTCTGACATATGACCGACTGTGGAGGTTTGAATAATATGATATACCAAACATAATTATTCTGGAAGTCAAAACATGCAAAAGAAATATAGTAAACGATCGACAAGAGATAGCAACACTTTACTCATAAATAAAACACCTTTTATTCATCATCTAATGTCAATTACACTTTACAAATTTCAAGGTTATCTAACTACTAAATCTAATATCATCCTTCAGCCCTATGCTCCGAGCATGCTGGAGATGCTTAACCCGAGTCAGTCCTTTCGTGAGGGGATCTGCTGGATTCGATACCCTCTTTTCCATGAGGAGTCCTTCTTCTATTCGATGTCTGATGAAATGGTATTTTCTGTCGATGTGTTTGGATCTCCCGTGATCCCTTGGTTCCTTGGCTAAGGCAACTGCACTTTCACTATCATAGAAAATTTCCATTGGCTCTTTAATAGCTGGTACAACTCCAAGGTCTCCAATGAAGTTCTTCAGCCATATCGCCTCCTTTGCTGCCTCGCTAGCTGCTATATACTCTGATTCGCAAGTTGAATCAGCCACTGTCTCTTGCTTGGAACTCTTCCAAGAAATTGCTCCTCCATTTAAGGTAAAGACCCAGCCTGACTGAGAGCGGAAAATATCCCTATCAGTCTGAAAGCTAGCATCACTATACCCTACAACTCTCAAGTCTTCACTCCCACCGAGGGTAAGGACCCAGTCCTTAGTCCTCCGTAGGTACTTGAGGATATTCTTTACCGCAGTCCAGTGTGCCTTGCCAGGGTTCCCCTGATACCTGCTAACCATGCTCAAAGCAAAGGCTACATCAGGTCGAGTACACGTCATAGCATACATGATCGATCCTACAACCGAAGCATAAGGTATTCGACTCATTTCTGTTATCTCAGCCTCAGTACTAGGGCTTTGTGTCTTACTCAATCTGGCGTTACTCTGGATGGGTAACTCTCCTTTCTTGGAGTCCTGCATGCCGAATCTCTTCAGCACCTTATCCAAGTAGGTACTCTGACTAAGTCCAATTAGTCTTTTACTCCGGTCTCTCAAGATCCTTACCCCTAGAATATAGGCAGCTTCTCCTAGGTCCTTCATAGAGAAACACTTCCCAAGCCAGGACTTAACTTCCTGCAGAGTTGGGATGTCATTTCCTATGAGTAGTATGTCATCCACATACAATACCAAAAAGCTAACTATACTCCCACTAGCCTTGACATATACACAAGATTCACCTTCACTCCTAGAAAACCCAAATTCTTTGACTTTCTCATCAAAGCAAAGATTCCATCTGCGAGGTGCTTGCTTTAACCCATAAATGGATTTCTCAAGCTTACACACTCTATTAGGGTACTCTGTATTGACAAAACCCTCTGGCTGACTCATGTAAACATCCTCAGCCAACTTTCCATTAAGGAAAGCGGTTTTGACATCCATTTGCCATATTTCATAGTCATGAAATGCAGCTATGGCTAACAGAACCCTAATAGACTTAATCTTGGCCACTGGAGAAAAGGTCTCATCATAATCAACTCCCGGAGTTTGTGAGAAACCCTTTGCAACCAGTCGTGCCTTATAAGTGTGTACATTACCATCCATGTCGGTCTTCTTCTTGAAGATCCATTTGCACCCTATAGTCTTACGACCTGGTACATTCTCAACCAAGTTCCAAACTTGATTGTCATACATGGACTGTATCTCGCTGTCCATTGTCTCTTTCCACTTGGCTGACTCAGGGCCTGCCATGGCTTCCGCGTAACTGTTAGGTTCATCCAGACCTATCAGTGTCTCATCACTGATAAGTGTATCACCTTCCGCAGTAATGTGGAATCCATAGTAATGCTCAGGTGCATTCCTAACCCTTGTGGAACGCCTCAGAGGTACAGACTTGTCAATTGGCTCAACAGGAGTTTCCTCCTCAAGTTGAGTGTTAGGGTTTGAAGTTCCTTCACCACTTGACTCTTGAATTTCTTCAAGGTCAACTTGGCTCCCACTGTCTCCTTGGCTTATGAACTCTCTCTCTCTCTCTCTCTCTCTCTCTCTCTCTCAAGAAAGCCCTCCTAGCTACAAAGACCACATTCTCACTAGGTCTGTAGAAGAGGTAACCAAAGGATTTCTGTGGGTAGCCGATGAAAATACACCTCTCACTTCGAGGTTCGAGCTTATCATGAGTCTCGCGTCTCACGAAAGCCTCGCAACCCCAAATCTTAATGTGGTCTAGTTTGGGTACTTTACCAGTCCACATCTCATGAGGAGTTTTGGCAACTTTCTTTGTGGGAACTAGATTAAGGATATGGGCGGCAATCTCTAAGGCATACCCCCAAAATGAGATTGGTAGCGAAGCTCGACTCATCATGGAACGAACCATATCCAACAAGGTTCGATTACGCCTCTCAGCTACACCATTCAACTGCGGTGTCCTGAGAGGTGCCAATTGTGAGACAATCCCACATTCCCTAAGATAGTCGAGGAACTCTGAACTAAGATACTCACCACCTCGATCGGATCGAAGCATCTTAATGTTCCTGCCCAATTGATTCTCGACTTCCTGTTTAAACTCTTTAAACCTCTCAAAAGTCTCTGACTTATGCTTGATTAAGTAGACATATCCATATCTACTATAATCATCAGTAAAAGTCAAATAATAACGATTAACATCCCTTGTGGCATGTTTGAAGGGCCCACACACATCCGTATGTATAAGATCCAACAAACCTTCACCCCTCTCACAAGAACCTGTGAAGGGTGACTTTGTCATTTTTCCAAGTAAGCATGATTCGCAACTATCATCTGACTTTAGGTCAAATGACTCCAATACTCCATCCTTTTGGAGTTGGCCTATGCGTTTTTGCTTATATGTCCAAGACGACAATGCCATAATGATGCTTTATCCAAGTTATTATCATTAACAGAATCAATACACAATACATTATTTCCTAAGTTATCAACCACAGATACA